AATGGATATATTGGAATTCTAATGCATCTATATCAAAGATTTGAGATGATATTGTGTCTGGAACCTGTTGGAAGCCCTCTATCTGCGAGGAATGACTTTGAAAAACAAAGTGTGATCTATAAAATTGTTTCCCTAATAGAGGAGAACAATAGCCAGGATGCAAAACTGGCTTCAGGAAGTAACACATTATGTAGAAAGGTGATCGGACAGCAACTTCTGGAAAAGCAGCTGAAAGAGAAATTTTACTCTTGGCTTCTCCTTGGAGTGACTTCAGATGGGAAGGGCCTTATGGTTATCGACAAATGGGGTCAAAGTGTGTTGCACTTGGCTGCTACTCTTGGTTTTAATTGGGCTTTCCAGCCAATTATAGAATCCGGAGTTAGTATAGATTTTCGCGATGTGAATGGTTGGACTGCGCTTCATTGGGCTGCATTTTATGGAAGGTACACCTTGAACTTAGCTCTGTTTTAGAAACATCTCAAGGGCCAAATTCTAGCAACTAGTGTATTAATATATTTATTGTATGCTTGATAGTTGTTGATCTAGAATCTACTCTATTGATTGTGTGAGTAGAATTTTAGTTAATTGGCATTTCACAATTTTTTTAAGAAAAAAGGTTTTTCTTTGATGCCCACAATTCTGCTGGGGAGAAACAAAAAATGTCCACTAAAAACACAGATGTCAAACAAGTTATCCAATAACACAGATTTCGCGGTTGTTAGACGAAGAATGTATTGTGTTTGCTTTACATTAACATCTTGTTCCTTTCTAACAGAGAGGAAACAGTCGCTGTGCTTGTTTCTCTTGGTGCAGCCCCTGGAGCACTTACAGATCCATCAACTGAATATCCGCAAGGCAGGACTCCTTCAGACCTCGCCTATTCCAGTGGGCACAAGGGCATTTCTGGTTTTCTGGGAGAGACTTTCCTGACCACCCACCTATCCACTCTTACATTGAACGATGGCAATACCACAGAAGAGTGTGGACTAGAAGCAATACAGACAGTCACAGAACGTTTAGCAGCACCTACAACCGGAGAAGATGTGCCAGAAACTCTGTCGCTCAAGGACTCAATAGCTGCAATCTGTAATGCCACACAAGCAGCAGCACGCATTCACCAGATTTTTCGCATTCAGTCGTTTCAGAGGAAGCAGATTCTTATTGAAAACGAATCTGGTGAATGGCTGGATTCAGATGAGCAAGCTATTTCTCTTCTTGCTGCTAAAACATCCAGATTGGGCCAATCAGGCGGTACTGCGAATGCTGCTGCCTTAAGCATTCAGAAAAAGTATCGAGGTTGGAAAAAGCGGAAGGAATTTCTGCTGATCCGACAAAAGATTGTCAAAATTCAGGTGCTTTGCAAGTTAAACATTTTGATACTTGTAATCATAAAATTAAACCATAGCTACCCTTGAGGTTTGGCTTGATTACAAAAAAAAAAAACTCTGTTAACTTTGAGAGTTGTGGAACCCACCCTTGAGGTCATATCACCTTAAACATTTTGCACCAATTGTCAGTGGAGCCAACTGAAGTCCCTAACTTCATAATATATTTTTAAAATTATATCCCTCTACTTTTCTAGATATTGCAAATAATTTTCTCATTTCAGTCTTACAGTTTCACCCCCCTACTTCTCTAAGTATTACAAACATCCAAATGTAATATTGTGCCGTCAGTAATAATTAGACAAACCAAGGGATGTAATTATAATGGAAAAATCTCATCATATCAACAAATGGTTGGTGCAAAATTTAAGATGAAATCACATATCTAGAGTGGTTTTGCAATTTTTTTTTTTTTTTTCTTAATTACCAAAGACCTTTGAGGTGAGATGATAAATATCCCTTATCTATCCGGTCATGTTTCTTGATTTGCCAAATTACCTAGGAGGAGAAAAATGTAGGCTTCAATATCTCGCCGACACAAGATTAATTACTTAGTAAATGATGCTTCTTCAGTATTTCCGAATCTAATTTATGTCCAAGTGCGCACATCGTCTATCGTTTGTGATAGAAGGCTAGTTTTATTTTGAAGATGCTAACATCCATATGAAGCTTACCTTGTTTCCCTTTCTAAGGCTCATGTAAGAGGTCACCAGGCTCGAAAGAAGTATAAGCCTATTATCTGGTCAGTGGGAATACTGGAGAAGGTGATTTTGCGCTGGAGACGTAAAGGCACTGGGCTCCGTGGATTCCGACCAGATGGGATCCAAAAACAGCCCCACGTGGGGGACAGTTTGCCACCACCAGAAGATGATTATGACTATCTGAAGGAAGGAAGGAAACAAAGTGAACAAAGGATGCAGAAAGCACTTGCCCGGGTGAAGTCCATGGCTCAGTATCCTGAAGCAAGAGCTCAGTACCGTAGGCTGTTAACTGCTGCTGAAGTCTTCCGTGAAAATAAGGTAAAAAATATTGTGTTTTTGGTAAATGTCAGTATATAACACCATGCACGTGCTGGGTAAAATTCAGGCGTATCATGCAAATTTCCATTAATTTTACGTGCTCCATAGCTACCCGACTGTCCTTAGTAAGAGTTTATTAGACACAGCTTTTGAGATGTTTGGCACTTGGTGTTAGAAGAAAGGTCACACAAATTGGCTTCAAAAATCTTCTTTTCATTTTGTACGTACCCTTGATGTTTGAGTTAATTACACTACATCTACTAATTGTTCTATTCACAAATTACACTTTCAGCAAGGGCGTATGTTTGTGAAAATAGTAGTACAAAGGTCAATGAGTATGATGTGATATTAAGTTTTTTTCTGTATTAGTACTAAATCCCAGGGTACTCTTTGTAACAGTATGAGGAATTGGGTAACTTTTTGGACAAAGAATTTTTCCGATATTATAAATGAATTGTTGCAGTATACTGATTGTTAACAAGCACAGCTTAAACCATTGTGTGGATACATTATTCCATACTCGATCTGCATATAGTATTCGTCATTGACATGTTTTTTTTTTTCTCTTTTTTATTTAATAATTAATCGGAGAAGAAGGTTCCCGTAATTTATTTTCCTCGTTGCTTTACATTTTCAGGATGCTTCAGATGGGATCCCAGATAACATGGAGGACTTGATGTACCCTGGGGACGACTTGATTGATGTTTCGAGTCTATTGGATGATGGCACTTTCATGCCCCTGGCGTTCTAAAGAGCATTCGAAGATCATCGTCTTTTTAGCCGAAGGTCTTGCTAGCAGTTACTACTTATTATGCAAAGTAAATAACTAGGAAAAAACATTTTATGTAGCCCTTCTGTTCTGGATGTATATGTTTTGTGCGTGCACATGTTATAATACGACTATGGACTCGATAGATTGTTATATTGTTGCTAAATGATATTAAGACAGAGGAATCAAACTCAGAAAGACAGCTTATATACTACTGAGCCGCTTTTAAGCTACTTTTCTTCAATATCAAGGCTTAAATCCAAGTACGTCTCCTCCTTACATCAACATCTTATATTAACACTTATGTTTGAATTTAGGGAAATGTTGATGCCCGCGGAACCATTTCGTTGAGGTTTGTGACCGTTAGATGATCATGTAATTGTTGGGGATAGTTGATCTAATAGTTACAAATCTCGATTGAATGGTTCCGTAACGGGACAGTATTATCTCACATTTCTTTAATTCATTGTTTATTATTTTGCATGATTATACTTATAGTTATTAGGAAAAGGTTCCATTTTTCTATAGGCCACAAAAAAAGGGAAAAAAAAAAAAAAAACTTATCTCACACTCACTTTTCTCCTCTCCTCATTTTTCTTTTTATAAATTATAAATTTGAAATTAATTATTACTACAAATTTGCTTATAAGATTTACAATTTATTTAACTAAATATTAAAATTTCAAATCATTATTTAATATTTTTCTATCACATTATAATTATTTATTATTCTTTAAATCACATCGTTTTATATTTTTTCGAAAATCAATCGTGAATTTATTTTTCTTACCATATAATAAATATTTATATTACATAGAATTATTAATAGAATACACCCTAACTTCTGCGAAATTTAAGTCAATTATCCACAATGCTTACCACCGGTTACCCATTGGAGAAAATATGTGATCTCGCCAATTAGTCTTTAGTTAGTGTTGTAGGACCAATGACCAGTCAACTATTCTCTTTAAATTTATCACTAAACTATTCATCAATTAACTAATCGTGGCCAGTGCGATGCACGGCATGATATATTTTTCTAAAACTTTTTTAATATTGAATATTAAATTTAATAGACTTGGTATATATGTAACAAATGTATACATGTCGGATAATTTAAAAAATTCATAAATTATTGAATACTTTGTAAAAAAACATTTGGTTTGATTTGTGGCGAGTTATCGTTACTACAGACTAATAATTTAAATAATTTAGAATATGGATTCGATAATAATAAATAGAAAATAACAAAAAATATATTTACCTCTTCATCATTGAAATTTATTCCAACTACTTGGCATCGAATTTTCTTTCACATATATGAACAACTCTTAATGTCAAGTATAGCTTGTTTTTTTGGGAAACCGAATTAAAAAAAAAACACTCACGAGCGGCATATTGATATGGTGAAAAAAAAATGAAATTAGTCAAATTTTATAGATTAGGGATTGAAAAATGCTAAAAGATGTGGTAAATGATTTGTAATTGAGTAACTATATAGATGTCATAATTATTTATATTAAATATGAGATATGGTTCTAATTAATAAAAAAAATTCAAGATTTATGATGTTTCCATTCGGTCAATTTATTTTGAGATATGATAATAATGAATCTTTTAGATGATATATATTTTACTATATGCTTAGATTTTTACTAACATAGAATGAGAAATATTCGAGTCCTTTAAGAATTTTTTTAACTGGATTTCCTTAAAATTATATAACAAAATTTTGAAAGAATTTTTTGTAGATATAATTGAATATGGTATCGCAATCAAAATATGTAAAAAAAAAAGAATGATATACTTTTTGTTATAAGTGTGTTCCCTAAAAATTTGGAAATAATGTATTAACTTTTTATTATCAATTTTTTACCAAAAACTGAAAAGCTAATTTTAGTTAAAAACTGAATTCTTGATTTTGTGCGATCTGAATCCTATGTAAAAAAAAAAATAAATAAATAAATTGCCACAAATTATTATCACATGTGTGAGCTCTAATTAAATTTTAAACAACATTTCCAAAACTGGTAAGTCACAAGTTTGACCCATATTTTTCAACTTTCTATTTCTTATTTTTTCCATCAACCTCTTTCAATATATATAGATTTTATTATTATTACTTATTTAATAATTGACTATAATGCGACAGAGAGATCTCTACGAGAAAAACACTAGTTCTTCGGCGACTTCCTCAATGCTACATAATTCAACATCAAAATTTCGAAAGCAAAAAAATAAAAAATAAAAAATACGATGGGTGTATCCCTGCCATTATTTTAAATAGCTCGTTACGTAGGTCGTTATAGTGTTTTTTTTTAAAATAAAGACACGACGTAGCTTTATATATTTAGTGTTTATCATGAAAAGCTTACGCGAAATATTGAATGACACATTTTTTTACACTATTTTGCACTATCTCACGTTATTTTGTGTTATACTGCGTTATATTTCTGCAACAACATTTAACAATAAAATATTCAAAGGCATATATTTTAAGGATTGAGCCATATTTTCAAATGACAACTAAAAACTAAAAATTTTGATAATAATTTAAAATCAAAAATTTGAATCATTATAAACAATCGGTTTAGTTCAATTATATCATTTCATTCTTCGGTATTTGACATTTATATCAAACAATAAAAAGTTCAGATGTAAATGTCCGAATTAAGTTTTAACTATATGTAGATACTTAAAATTACACTATAACTTACGTTATTATATTTTAGTTGTTTGTTTTTACTTTTACCATATTTGCTTTATTATTTAAACATGAAATATTTAAATATTCATGTTAAGACATTTACATTAAACATTTGAGAGAAATAATTTGTACATGTTATTGTTGAATTCTTCAATATCATGATAATTTTTGGAATCAACCATTCAATTTTATCTTATGCAAATATATATGTGTATACATAATATTTCTATAAAAATACTTTTTTTATACCCAAATAGCTTACGCAACACGCAACTCTATTTACACTACGCAATACAAAGACCACAACGCGATGCGTTACGCTACACGCTATACGCTATACGCGTGTTAATACACTAACTCTGCCCATTATGATGAAACTTAAACTACTTTTTTTTGGCCACGAAGTCCAAATAATCTTCATACGTAAACAATTAAAAAGGGTAAATACAAATTATATGGTAAGATAGACCACAACTTGAAAGATTCATAATAACATTTATATATATATATATATTATAAAAATCATGATTTTATTTAAATTATTTTTAGAGTACTAGTGTGCGGTTCATGCGATGCATGAAATAACAGTTTAAGGTATAATTTTATAATTAAAAATTTTATTCGATATTAAAAGAGTTACCACAATATAAAACATTAGTTGTACAATTCTATATGGTTGAACATGTTTTCAGTCATATATAATTGAAACGTCATTGTACAATATTTTCGGTTGATTTTGTTTGCATGCTATAATCTCCACAAATTAATATTTTCAAATTCTTTCTGTTGATTACACAGGAAACAACAACATAGTTGTTTGTGACTAAACACGAGTTTCTTAAAAAATTGGCCAATATGAGACAAAAATTGACATTGACTCTTGTATCTAGTCATGACATAAGAAACCATATGGGAGAATGGTCACCGTTAGAACTTGAAATTAACTCTTACTTAAAAAGAAGTTAGAGTCATTCGAAAAATTAACATCTTATCACTTGCATGATCCTAGTCAATATATCACACTCGAGTATATGAATGAAGAGTTGTGTCACAATTAAGATTGCAAATTAAGATTGCAAACGAGTCGAGTTGAGTCAAGCCTATACCTTGTCGAGCACAGATCAAACTTTTTTCATCAGTGCTCGATCTCGAGCTCAAAGAGCTATGTAAAATGGTGCTCGAATCAAGTCATGAAAAAAAAAAGAATGCTTGAGCTCGAACCAAAACTTTAGCAACCAAACTCTAAATATAATAGTATTATGTTTAATCTAAATAGATAATTTTAGCCTTAGTGCTCTAATATGATAATAAAACTATATGCGAATATTTACATAAATAAAAAAGAGCGCTGCTCGTCGAGATTATGAGCCTCTTGAATAATGTTCGAGGCTCGGCTCGTTTTCTGGATTGAACTGCTCGAGCTCGGGCCGAGCATTGACTTGAGCGCTAGTGGGCCGCTTGACTCGTACTAGTCCTAGTCACAACCAATTGTCTCCCAAAACTCAGAACCATAGAATGGTCCATGTTATGGAAGCCATTGGAATGGGTCGTGCAGCCTTTCATCGCCTAAGCTCGACATGAGTCGGTGGCCGGTCAAATACCGACGAAGTAGATTTTGTGGCAGGTCTGTCGCTGGGAGGTCGACTTCTAGATTACTTGAGGTCGGCCGATGTGACTTGTGTATGCCGACCACGGGCATGGAAAGAACCCATCCCCAAGGGGATTGGGGTCGTATTTCGGGAGCATTCAGTTTGGATGAGGGATGTGTTGAACTCGTCCTTTTCTAAAGGGTCAATTCGATTGCTCAGTGGTTGAACGATGATACGGAGGTCAGCAGTATGAGGAGGTACACAACTCAGATGATTGGAAGAATTCGGAGTAGTTACAAGGGAGATTGTATCATAGGTAGGCCAGTACAAAGTCAGGGTCAGGATGACGACCTCATCATGACTCAGACTTATGGAGACTAGGATGAAGACCTAAGACCTTTAGGTCTAATGCCAACCTCCAACTCTTCAAGGAGTGGTGACCTCAATGATCTCGGAGACTTAATACGAGGACATTTTAGTCATTGCACAAAATACATGTTACGCTATTGTGCACATTTACAGTCGTTAATGTGCATTCCCTTTAACATATTGTGCAATTTGTGGCATTTTGATAAATTTGTAGAATTTTAAATGTGTAACTGGTGACAATTCTGTAATTTCTGAAAAAATATGATGGCCTTTTTTAATGTGCATACTACACGTGATATTTTGCATTTTTCTTAACTTTTTGTTCAATTATCAAAGTTTTAAATTAGAGATTTACCGAAGACCTAAAGTGCAATATATTAAAATTCATAAATTTATAAATAAGTCTGTGAACTTATCAAATTTTCAAAAGGAGCCTTCCATCCCAAAGATCTCAATTTGACATTTCCACTCTTCTGTTGCCCATGCGAAATGCCATAGCTAGAGAATGCCTATGGGTCGCAGGTAATCAGAATCGTTGTTGGATGCACCATATAACAAACACTCATAGTTTCCCCTAATTCATAAAACCATAACCAACAGAAGATCAACGACATTAGGTATTTCAATATTGAATCGTTCTATTCTTTGTTCTAAATGTTCAGTTCTCAAATTTAGGAGTAAATCGAGGGATTTGAGGATGTTTCTGGTAATTTTGGTTGTATTGGATCTTGCGGGTGATGATGTTTTTGTACTAGTGATTTGGTAGGCTTGCGAGAGGTTTCAGGGGTCATCGCGGAGGTTGTTGTTGGAGATGTTGAGATGGAGGAGGTCGAAGGGAAGGGGTAAAGGCTGCCGGTGGAGAAGTCATTGCTGAAGATGAAGACAAGCTTCAGTTTTGGACATTTGGTGAGGAGGTAGAGGCTGCCGGTGAGGCGATTGCGGCGGAGGTCGAGGTTGTAGAGCTGGGGAGGAGACAACGAAGTTAAGGCTGCGTAGGGAACGAGAGAAGATGATAACAACGGTGAAGCTGTCGGACGCTAGTGGTGCAGGCATTGGGAGCAGCGGGGAACTGCGGAGAGACAATGGGGGTTGGTGGGTAGGCGTGGGGCCTACGAATAGTTTGTTTGTCCAAATCACCTTTATTATTGTATCAGTTTGTTTGTTTGTTTATTTATTTAATTTTTTTTGCAGTTAGATTATTAGATCTAACAAATGTGATGTATTTCTATTTCTTTCATGACAATCATTATTACCAGAACTCATCCATATATATATATATTATATATATATATATGTGTATATATTTAATGGTCACAAGAGAATATGAAGATCAGTCATTAACATTAACTTTTGGGTGAAAATTATTATAACATTATTAAATATAATTGGAATGGGCTGACTTGGAACACGTTCTCACCAAAAGATAATATCAGAAAACTTCTTTTGCTTTAAATTAATCATTAAAGTATAAAAAAGGGGTTGTTTATGGAATAATAAGAAAAAGAAAAAGGCACAAAAAGCCCTTGTTTGCAAATTGCGATAAACTCGAGTCCTTTGCATCAAGAATACGAGCTATATAGAGCTGTAAAGTCAAACAAGAGTGGCCCTCACTGCTTGCATCATTTCATATTACAAGCATTAAAACCCAATACCAATAAAGAAAAATCAACAAAGTCAACAAGAGGTGGTTTTTGGCAGCCATTCTTGTTTCTTTTCTTCAAGAAAATCCCTAATCCCATCTCTCTTTCTTTTAATTTTTCCTCTCTTTTCTGGTATGCAGACAACACTATCTCTAATTTTTGTAAAAAAAATAAGATTTTTGTGAATTCCCAGGTTGTTGTTTCTGTTGCATTTTTTTTTTTTTTTTTTTTTTTNNTTTTTTTCAGGTTAGACGATCTGCAAGTTGACCCTTATGGATTTTCAGTTTGGGATTTTTATTTTGTTTGTTTTCCGATGTGGGATTCGAAATCTGTTTGAAATTTGTCTTGATTTGGATCAATTTTGGCGATAAAGATTGAATTTTTACGTTATTTTTATTTTTATTTTTTTCCCCACTTTTCAGGTAATAAGGAACTTCAATTTTGATTCTGAAAGTAGATGTTGATTTGGAGAGGTTGAGGTTAAGGTGTTCTGAGCCTAATGGATAGTCTGTGTTGTTTCAGTGCTTCTTGCTGTCAGGTGGCCTTCTGCTTTCTTGTGCAAGTTTATTACTTTCTATAGTTTTCTGCCTTTCTATTATGAAGGTTCATTTGGAGATTTTTTTGGTGTTGAATATCGAATTTTATGTGTGGTGCTGCTTTTGGTGAATTTGCAATTTGATTATTTTGAGCATATGTTGTGTTGCATTTGGATGGAATGATTTGTATTTGAGGAGAGGATTTTAGGGACACAACTCTCAAATAAGTACATGCAAATTAAATGGATTTGAAACAAGCCACTTTTACTCGGAAACAACGATGAATTTTACGTTTGTAATGTGATGTAACTATGAAGACGTAGCTCAACGGATTTTCCTTTGGCGCTAGACTGAAAATCTAGCTTGAATCCTCCCATCCAAATGCAACCTCGAGTCCTTGAGTTATGTTAGATTGGTTGAATTATACTTGTTAGGCGGCATATAAGACGGGAAAAGCCTCTATTTGGTACATATGTATAACATTGGCTCCCTTTGAGTTGGAACTTTTTTCTCGTTTTGAGTTAAAATAATGGGTTTCGCGACTAGAACTTGTGAGCTCATTATTACGTGAATTTCTTGTTCCTTGCGGTCCATATCTGATACGTCACTAAATTCAATGGCGTCATCATGTCACTTTTGTTCCGACATGCCTTTTATTAGTTAACTTGTTTTTTTTTATTAAAAAAAATGAAGTGGATTTTTATTATTTACGTTTTTTTTTACGTCCTCTTCGTCGCCTGATCTACGTAGTCCCAGCGTATATGAAAGCTTCTTATTGGCTGATTGTTTCAACTCAAGAAACATTCTTGCCACCTATTTGCACCTTGAAACTTTCTAAGTTCTTTTTGCTTTTTTCCTTTTGTTTTTCATTATTTTTTTATTTTTTATTATTATATTTATTTATTTATTTTTTTTTGTAGGTGGCAGGAGGAAATTCGACTACCTCTGGAAAGGGAAGTAGCTCCAGAGGGCATGTTAAGTATGGATTTAGTTTAGTGAAGGGAAAAGCAAATCATCCAATGGAGGATTACCATGTTGCTAAATTTGTCCAATTCCAAGGTCGTGAGCTGGGGCTTTTCGCCATATACGATGGCCATCTTGGAGATAGTGTGCCAGCTTACTTGCAAAAGCATTTATTTTCAAATATACTAGAGGAGGTTAGTCGCTACGTCCAAGTATTTTCTTTCTTGGTATTTTGCATTGCATATTCGAATGGGATTTCATTGGTGAAAGATTGCGGTTTCATAATATCATGACAATAATAATAGAATCTCAACTGAGTTGTGAGTTGATCATGTGATTTCACATATCTTATAAATGTTGCATCAATGGTTCTTCCAGATGAGTATTGCAAGATCTCGTTCGGCACAGTTTTCATGCTATTTAAATTTGAATCTGTGTTACTCTCTAGCAATTTAGAAAAATACCAATGTGAATATCTCTTGATTTTAATATAACTTATACAGCTAAAGAACCTAGAAACCTGTTTTCTCTTTTAGCCTTATTCCAAACTGCATCTGAAATTCGGACTTTATGTTACTCTCTAAAATCGAAATGGATGACTTAGTATAATTCATATCTTGATTCTTGCGGATTCAGTTGTCTTTATTACTTACACAACAAGGAAATGATTCATTTTAAACGACGGTAAATTTTCTAGTTTTTTAAGCAAAGGTTCAGTCTTTGAGAACTCTTAGGTGCAGGTTCCCAAGCAGATACATGTTAATAACACGTGCAATGAACCAATCTAACTATTGACATCATCATTATAATTGTGTAGAATTCCCAATTATGTTATTTTCAGATAATTTGGCAGGTATTTATTTGTAGTCCGTAAATTAAAGTAATCACTCTGTCTCAACAGTTGGATTAAAAAATTACTCTGATACAATTTTATACTTGACATTGAGCATTAAAAGAAAAAAAAAAAATGAGCATTGTTGATTTTAATGACAGGAAGACTTTCTGAGAGACCCGAGCCGGGCTATTGCCAAAGCATACGAGACGACTGACCAAGCAATCCTCTCCCACAGCCGTGACTTGGGCCGAGGTGGGTCCACAGCTGTGACCGCCATTCTCATAAACGCCCGCCATTTGTGGGTGGCCAACGTTGGGGACTCGCGGGCCGTGCTTTCCAAAAGGGGCCAGGCTATAGAAATGACGGTTGACCACGAGCCCAATACCGAGAGAGGTAGCATTGAAGACAGAGGTGGATTTGTCTCAAATTTGCCAGGTAATATTAAGTTGCAATAATGATTTAAGAGTTAGCTTCATAAAGTTGCTCGGTTTAAATGCTTACTAATACTACATCTACGGTGTAAATATAGTATTACATAACATTAATTAACCTAAAATAGTTGAGAAGGATCTCCTCTAACTTAGGTTGTGTTTGGTAAGCATATAAGATATCTTATAGCTTATTTGATTAGCTTATAAGTTTTATGTATTCAAATAAACTTGATTTGGTAGGGCGAGCTTTTGTAAGAAGCTCGAGCTTATCTCATAAGCTTCAATCATTGGATAACTTTTTAAATAAGTTAACTGAATTTTTTTTATAATTTTACCAAACACTTCTATCATATAAGCTACTTTTTCAGCCATAAGTCATAAGCTAACAGCTATAAGCTCGAAACTCGCTAAAAAGCTATAAACTAGCTTTTATCAGCTAGGTTTACTAAACATAGCCTTAAGCACTTGGATCTGAAATATGGCGAAAAATATTTGGGACTCAACTCGATCTCTTTCCTTCTTGTCTCTTTTTTGAGATAATTCAGAGTCCTAAATGAAATAACAATCCCGATAATTATAACATTAAGCTTACACATGTACCAGGGGACGTTGCAAGAGTGAACGGGCAATTGGCGGTCTCGCGTGCCTTTGGTGATAAGAACTTGAAGACACACTTGTCCTCCGAGCCTGACATGACCAATGCCGAGATCGATACCGACACTGATCTTCTTATTCTAGCTAGTGATGGTTTATGGAAGGTACCCATACTAATTATTTATTTAAGCTGTCTTTTCTTTTCTTTAGTAAAATAATCCCTTATTTTGCTGGTGGAATGCTTGCTTTTGCAGGTGATGTCTAGTCAGGAGGCTGTTGATTTTGTGAAGAAGACGAGGGATCCACACAAGGCAGCCAACCAACTGGTGATCGAGGCATTGAACAGAGACAGCAAGGATGATATCTCTTGCATAGTCGTACGTTTCTGATTCTGAAATTACAGTTTTACCCCGCCCGCAACTATTCGAGCTGCTGTTATTTCCTTCTTTATTTTATGGATGTTTTACTATTGTTTTGATTCTTGTGCAGATTTTTCTCTTTTTTCTTCTTTCTTTTGTAATTTTCTAAGTTGGGATTGGTTTGGTTTGAGCAGTGTTTTCTGTTTATGTAATGATCAACATAGGTTAAATTTTATGTGGTATATATAAGATGCATGGAAGATTTTTGGGTGCTTTATATGATTTATCTGACAGTGCTTTTGTTCTTGTGGAATTAAGTGAGATATATACAATAAATAATTTTTCATTGGTATAATTTGTCATATTTTGGTGCATTGGCTGGGTCACGACACTGTTTTAAATAGCTCGCTATGTTATTCGTTATTATTTTTTTCTTTTTCTAAAAAACGTGACGTACCTTTATATATTTAAAGTTTTTCACGAAAAATTTATGCGGAATGCTGAAATAGCACGCTTTAAGCTATTTTTAGTTTCACGCTATTTTGTGTTACTTTGTGCTATATTTATGAGTTACTTTTCGTTATATTTCTTCAACAACATTTCATCAACAACATTTCAGCAATAAAAATATTTATTAAACTTGTATTTTTTAGTAAATTAGAGTTATATTTTTAATTGAAAAAATAAAATAAAAATTTTGATAATGATTTCAATCTAGAAGTTTGAAAATACAAAGTCTTAAATTGAATAGTCAAATATATATCGGTTCGGTCTATTATATATTATATTTTTAAGTATTTGATATTTAAATTCAAGAATAAAAAGTATAGAGCTAATGATTAGAATTAAATTGTAATTAAATTAAAAAAAACTAATTACAAAGTATATGCTTAAAATAAATTACAACTTATCTTATTAGATTTTTGTTGTTTGTTTTACTTTTTAATATATTCATTTTATTATTTAAATATTTATATTATGATATTTACATCAAACATCTATAAGAAATAATTCTTAGATGTTATTTTGGGCTCATTCAAATATTATGATAATTTTTAAAATTAATCATCTAGTTTTATTATATGCTAGCATATATATAATATTTTTATAAAAATAATTTCTTATAATCAAATATCTTACGCAATACGCAACGCTATTTATGCTACGCAGTATAAAAATCAATACGCGACGCATTACGTTATAGGCAGTATATGCGTTTTTACAAATAGTTTTGAAAAATGATTTAGTTCTAAATTTTTAATATATCTTCAAAAAAATGTCTTTAAAATTTGCATTAAGAAACAATTCCGACTTGCCCGATTCGAACCACCGACCTAAAAGTATAATTAAATTCATATAGTTTATTTATAATAACATGGATAAAAATTAAAGTACTGATGTTTTTTTTTTTTTTTTTGTTTGAAAAAGATATACGTATTAATGAGAAATGAAAAAATGTAAAAAAATTAAGAAACGATATGTATATTAGATGCACACAAAATTTAGAAGTAGGGATAAAAAATAAAATAAAATAAATGATAAAAAATATTTTTAAAAAATAATTTAGTTCTAATATATCTTTAAAATTTAAATAAAATTATATTCCGACCTGCCGGATTCGAACCAGCGACCTAAGGATTTCAGCGTAACCACTACAGTCCTCCGCTCTACCAACTGAGCTAAGGTCGGTTTGTTATGAGTTGTATACAAAACATGTAAAATATAAAATAAAATAAAACATTAAAAAGCTAGAAGAAGAGGATTGCAACTAGAGATAAAAGTGCCCATATGGCATAGGGAACCTAACAATTAACAAGAATAATTTTAATATTAATATATTAGTCATGATGCCTTACATTTATAAAATTTACTCATTAATTATATTTTACAAGGAATATAGTGATTCATATATAAGTAAAATATTTTATACTTAGATTATTTTGTTCTAATGATCTAATTTATAAAATGTGATATCTCAATTATATAACTTATGGTTTAAATGTAATATTTATATATATGATTTATAATATTTTATTTATATTTGTGTTTGTGCATAAGATTGAATACTAGATTAAAATTAATATAGAATAATGCAAATTGCATTCAATGAGAATCAATATGTGGTTAGTGCGGTGTACGAAGAAGCAATAATACGGTTGTATTATAAACCACATATAAAAAAACATTAATCATCTTTTCGTTATGACAACATTCTTACTTTATTTATTTGAACTATATTATATTTACTGGAGCAAAGTATTTATAATATTGAATTCCATATATAATTTCAATAATCAATTTCATCCAGTCAAATTAATTCATAACTTTGTCACCTTGGATGCAACTAGGGCTGTAAACGAGCCGGGTCGAGCTCGAGCTTAAGGTGTTTGAGCTCGAGGTCGAGCTCTTAACGAGCGGAGCCGGCTCGGCTCGTTAAGTAAACGAGCCAAAAATCGAGCTCGAGTTTGGCTCGTTAAGGCCTCGAGCTCGAGTCTTAACGAGTCGATCTCGAGCTTCAACGAGCCGAACTATAAAAAATTACATAAATTTCACTTTTCGAGCCTTAACTAGCCTTATCGGCTCGGCTCGTTAACCAAACGAGCTTTAAATGAGCTCGAGCTCGACTCGTTAAGGCTTCGAGCTCGAGCCGAACCGAGCCTTAACGAGTCGAGCTCGAGCCGAACCGAGCCTTAACGAGCTGAGCTCGAGCCGAGCCGAGCTAGACTCGTTTAATTTAACAACACTAATGCAACAAAAGCTATGTTATATTTTTAGACGGTTTTATATACAATCTGAAGTTGGTCCAATAAACATATGCAATAATCTAATTCAGTCAGCTTGGTTGATCCAAATAATTTATTTTCTTAAATACAGTTAGTTTTATGGAATAAAAAAACAAATTGTAACGCAATCTGTAAATTTTTATAATAAATGATAATATATTATGACTTCAAATTACAGAATTAAAGGCAAATTAAATATTTCTTGATTCATACATATTTATTAAATAATAAATGTAATAATTTTAAAAGTACAAAATTAAATAATTGATTATGTAATTGACACGATGACTCGATACTGTTGTAAATTGGAACTCTCAAGCATCCATCAATCCAAGCATAAGATGTGCAGTAAAGAGAACGATAAAAGAGAAGCAGAAAAGTATGTCATCTTATTCATCAGTATAATCACCCTTTTATAGGGTTTACAAGAGGGAAGCCCTACAACCTATTCCTACTCACTAATGGACTTCAGGCCCAATTATTTATTAGTAATGTCCATATTAATATATTTATAACACTCCCCCTTGGACATTACTACATGCCTCATTAAAAACCTTGCTAATAAAAACCCGACAGGGGAAAAAATTAGCCAAGGGAAAAAGAGTACATGATTTATATAAATTCATGTGTTTTACTAGCTGCCTCGTTAAAAACCTTTAACTAATAAACCAATTGGGAAAAACTTAGTTAAATAAAAAAAAGAGTACAGCATTTGGTCTTCAAGACCTAATCTTGGGGATTATATTGAGTTTTTCCCTCCCCCTGAAGACAACAGTCTTCCCAGTTTAGTCGAGGAAAAGAGTACATGACACATGCAAATTTATGTGTTACACTTGTTGCCTCGTTAAAAACCTTACTAAGTAAAACCCAATGGGAAAAAACTTAGTCAAGGGAAAAAGAGTACAACACCGGCCAACAGGGCCTAATCTTCAGGATTATAATTAACCTTCCGGGTTCGATCTTCGAGATTTATTTATCGCTCCCCCTGAAGGGAAAAAGTTTCTAACATAAAATCGTCATTTGTTGCTCTTCGGGAGTTGATATAGATTCAAAAATATCATCGAATGTATTTATATAATTTGTTTGTGTAACACAAACCAAGTTATCTTCAGGATAAATATGGGGAAATTTCAATAACCAATGGTAAAGAGTTAATACCATTTGAGAGGTATATAACCAATTGAGGACCCATGTTTAGGGGATCGATTATACAATTGATGTCCTTATCCACCAATATCATATATAAAGTCCAAAGATAAATCAACATACATAAAGAATAATGGGATATTCTCAATATTTATCATGATATCTCTATAAAGAGAGATTTAGTAAATCTTGCTAGCAAATTCATCACAAATGCAGTATCAGGCCTGATGCAGTTTGCGAGATAAAAGTTCAGCACAATTGCGCTTCATAAATAAACTTCATGTCGTTTGTGGACTTCAAGTCCATTTGAACTCCAGGTCCTATAATATCCTCATTTGTTTCTTTGGATCTTTGTCAAATGCCAAATATTTGACACACATTGGTGTTACAATTTTACATCTCTAAAAGAGATTCAAGTAAATTGGTTGGGTCAAAAATATTCCTTCTAGGAGATGCTCGATCTACAAGTCGAGATAATACTCTTTGGTATTTAACCAAAAGTTTCATCCTTACTCCGTCTATAAGCATGAGCAAACTTATTTAATATTTTACATAGTGTTCACCACATAATCTATTTGGCCGAGATGATCATTTTGTATATTATCATTATACACAAGGTTCTACCTTGAATTTCTTATTTTACTTCTTCAGGAAGAATTTAGTTGGTTGTACCACATCTCACCAACAACTTTAAATAATGAAACTATTTATCATTTAATTATCTTTCATCTCGGGTACTCGAGTCCATCCAGGACTTTCACATATGACTCAATAGTCATTGTAATAATGCTGCCATAAATATTAACTTGCGGAATCATTGATAATGAGAGAACTTATCTAATAAACATTTGGGTCTCTGCATAAACCCATGAGCATAATCTCGCTATATTTACATCACACCACCACATCACATGTTTCATATAAATATTCATTATCCTTCTGGGATATGCTATCCTCCTGGGATATATCGTGTAGCGAGTGAAAGCTCTGCCTCAATTTTTCTTTCTATCTCAATTAACCTAAGTGCTTCTAGCACTTTTATTATTCTGATCCGGATCATTATATGAGATAGTAAAGAAATCACATAGGCAAGTATGTTGT